GTATGCGTGCACGGTTGTGGCATGACCACCAAAACAGAAATATATGGACACAAGATGTGTGCAATTTAGTTTCCTATCCATGTGAACATGATTTAAAGTGGAGGGGGGGACCTAACCTCCTCTAGGGGGGTATGGGGGCATGCTCCCCCGGGAAGATTTTTTTAAATGTTGAAGTTAAAAGCATCAATCTGGTGCACTTTGAGAGCAACATTAAGAGATCTATGGATACATCTCTCAACACCCACTTGAAACAGAACTGTAAGGAGATTTATTTTTCTTTATGGATATTTTACAAATCACTCCCCTTTCAAACTGTATTCTTGTTTATTAATAACAACTTTTTTTTACTGTCATAAAGTATTTTATACCCGTTTACTTTGTTCTCTTATTTTTTTATAACTATAATGATCATATAAAGATGTGCCTTTACCTCACTGGTTGTAGAAAAAGCTTCTTATATTCGTTAGCATAGCTAGCTAACCAGATGCTAATAACAACAAAGTTATTGACTGTATGATCAGTGTGACAGATGGACAAATCGCCACTGGGCTCACAACTAAAGACACAGCCACGCAAAAACTGCGGCATGTGGCATGCTCCTTATCTGAAGTGCCGGAGCCGTGCTCTCCGACAGAACTGCACCCCTGTCAGACGAGACCATGGATGAGACATATACCACGTGATGACACGTTAGGCTCGTGTTGTGTTCAAGGACCCTGATCTTGGCCAGGAAAAACAGGCTCTCGCTTGTTTAATTCTTTTGCGGTCAAGATTTATTTTTTGCGTGTATTTATAAATTACCTCGAGGGCCGTATCAAATTGTCTCGCGGGCCGTATACGGCCCGGGGGCCGGAGGTTCCCCACCCCTGCTTTAAAGTGATATCCCCCATTCGTTCAGTTTAATGCTCGGTATATCTGGACGATGTGGTCGTCTACTCGGATGACTGGGGAGTCCATCTTGATCGCATGAAAACAAATGTGACCGCCTGGCTAACGCTAATCTGACAGTTAAAGGTGGGGTAGGTAATTTTGGAGAAACCAACTTGAGTGCGCTAGAATTAAAATATACACAGCCGGAAAAAATCTGCCACTTCCCCAGGGTTTCCCAAAGTGGGGGTCGCGAGATGATTACAAAATTAAAATGGAAAATAAAAAAAATAAAAAATTATAAAAAAAGATTGATTACGGTAATTTTTTTAATAATTATAATAATAACGTTTGCATAGACATTTTCAGGGGCGGACTAGCCATCTGTATAATTTCCCCACAACGAGGCTCCTCCTTTGACAATCCACTAGCGCAGTGTTTCACAGCTTCCGGTCTTCCAAGACCCGACCGGACAAAAAGATGTGTTGCAGGCACGAAACATACTACCAATAGAAATGCATTGCTTCTAAAATCGTTCTGTGTGACACGGAAAAAAGGGGAAAATCGTGTTGGTGAACACGAATCAATAGATTAAATACATTTCGAGACTATAACACGAAATGCCGTGAGACTGGGTTGGATAATAGCTAGTTCAGCATACTTTTATTGGTGCCAATTTCTAAAATGGAAACAAGTATAGGCTGTTTTCTTCGATGCTCTTGCATATTGTCTTTCCTAAAAGCTGACGTCTAAGTAATAATGTTTATTTGTATATGTCTGTTCTCCTGCTGCTGCAACAACAACCTTATTTCCCCTCTGAGGATCATTAAAAGCTTATCTAATCTGGCGTTCATCATGTTTCTGCTGTGAGGCTCTCACCTGGATGACGGCGCTGAACCAGCAGGTGTTCCCCACGTTTCTGATGCCCACGGGCCACTCGTCCTGCCGGATCCACTCTGCCGGATTGCACATGTCACTCTGAGCTTCACTCCTCTTCCTCTTCATCCTCGCTGCGCTCTCCTCAGCGCTGGCCTCCAGAGCCCTGCAGGAACATCAAGTAATACAGTCAGACACATTTAGAGGACAAATAGTTAGACTCTCTGCTCTGTGTAAATAATAAACAACTTATAATACAAGCGCAGTCAAGTGGAACCTATTAACCTGCTTCCTGTCAGACTCAATCAACAGCCCGTAGGAAAATAGAGCATTGTAGGTGATAGGGCAAAAGCATCTCCGCTCTGACACCTGTTCGCAGGAACATCAAGAAATACGTTTATAAACACTTCCTGTCATACTCAATAAACAGCCTGTAGGAAAGTAGAGCATTGTAGGCGCTAGGTCAAAAAAACTCAGTGTCCACATCGACTGTTTTCATTAAAGTAAGTAAATAAAAACAATGTATATAAAAAGCAGGTTGTGTTGCACCTGTTGAACTCTCTCTCCTCCTCCTGGGCATTCTGGGACTCCTGCAGGCTGAGCTCTATGGCCGTCTGCAGCTCATCTTTAGGAAGTCCTGAAGAAACACACAATAATAAGTAAGTACAGTACTTGAGTAAATCTACCAAGTTAGCTTCGACTATTGTCACACATTTACTTCTGACCCTCCATAGTGATTACTCCATATATGGTCGATCAGGAGACACTGACTCACATGTATTCAATTGTCTGCACTCAAATATAGCGCTTTTCTAATCTAATATCGTGCACACTTGTTTAGTTCCTACCTTTCTGTTTGTCCCAGGCCTCTTCAGACGGCTCTGGAGGATCTTCAGGATCCTGGAGCTCTGCAGGCTGATTGGTCAGCAGCCCGACTGCACGGCCGATGTCCCCCTGGCTGGCCTGAGAGACGAGAGATCAGGGCAGAACATCTTTTAATATGGTTATATAAATATGTCTTTTATTCTAATATAGTGCCCAATTCTCCTGTGGGATTAACAACGTATTTTTGATTGATTGATGAATTATTCCACTCAGGAAAAGTTATTTCAGTCAGTCTTAATTTTCTGTGAAAGGTCCCTTATTATACTGTTTTTCATCAATATATTATAGGTCTCAGATATATACAGAACCTGTCTCTGATTGGTATTGTAGTGCGTATTTAAATGAGCTGAGTGGTCCCCTTTAAGCTGTGGTAAAATAGAAATACTTTCATAATATTAGTGCCGTGATCGATTTAAATGTAACAAAGTGCTTTGCTTATAAAGTGTACTTAAATACAGTTTTGACATTTAATGAGTATTTCCTTTCTATCCTTCCTTATGTTTCTAATCCTCTTCATTTCAGAGGGTTGGGGTGAGATGATGAAAGGATAAAAGCTCATGATAGTTTTTAGGGTCTTACATTGAGGGCTTTGCAGAGGATCTGAGAGTCCTGGATGCCGGTGATCTCCCTCAGCTGCTTCATCAGGATTTCACTTTGCTGAGGACACACAGGAAAGAATAAATAGTCAAGCTTGAGACGGGAAGTGTGGGTTATTGAAAAAGAAGGAAAACTTGCCCACAACTGGCTATACTCTGGGTACGGTTAAGGGCTGTGAAATATATCAATATTACATTGTGATCATTTCCTTTATTTAAAGGGTGCATTGCAGGGAAGTGATGTCATTTTCTGAAATTACCAATATTTATATTTATATTATTTGCCTTTACCCACTAAGCCTTGATATATAAAATGATAATGATTATATATCAAAAATATCAATGTGAAACTATTTTGTGAAATGACAAATAGTCAACCCTACAATATCGTTGTAATATAAATATTGAGGTATTCAGAAATATTTTGATATATTAATTTCCACATATTGCCAAGCCTTAGTACATTAGTGGTGTAACAGGAATAGGAAAATAATAATATTGTAGGTTTTGCAATATAGCTAATTTCCTACCACTTCTTCCACATAGAAAGCAAATATATTTATTTTAAATGATTCGTTTCTAACCGAGATTGCTCCATCTACATTACATTTAGCTGAGTTATACACATTCAGAACAGCCAGAATACTTCAAGTACATCAGCTTCAAATAATCCAATACATCATGTTCTGCTGTTGGGAACATACTTCCCCCATGAAGATAAAGCTTATGTGGGCCTGACCGTTAACGTGTGACGCAGAACACACGGGGTATAAATGGATCTGAAGGACAAATGCCAGCCTGCATGCCTGTGTCCATGAGGCAGTTTGAACAGGACAATGACTGAATGAATTTAGTGGCTTCAAATCATTAAAGAAGCAGATTGACTTTTCATAATGTGCTTGTTCACTTTCTTCCCAAAACGTTACACAAGAGGAAAATACTGATTTAGGTGCTGTTTACACAGGAACGAAACGGGTTGTATCCGCTACTTTTCTCTTTCGTATAGCCCGTTCGTTCACACGAGGCCGTAACAGAACCGCGGAAACAGGCCCCTAAAACGATAACGGGTCCCAAGGTGGATAGATCTGCGGACGGAACGCTCTGGGGGGCCAAACGGCTCAGTGTGTACGTCCTATACGGTCATTTCCTGATAATGATGAAGCCATAGCCCCGCCTCTCCCCACCTCTGCTGCTCACTGCTGTAGCATGGTCAGTAGCAACTGTCAATAGCTACTGACCATGCTACAGATGTTAGTGCACAATCTACAGCTCCTCTACCACAACCATCAGCAACAAGTGGACATGGAGAACTACATGAACTACATGTTGCTAAATCCACAGCGGAGAGTAACCAGAAGGGCAGAAGGGCAACGAGGCAACCATGGCAATCATGCTCGGGGGTCTTCTTCGCTGCTTTTGGTGATTTTTTGATTTTTTTTACGCCACTTACAGGCCTGGGATATGTACTACAGCGTTTCCAGTGGGTTGAGCGGTCTCGTGTGAAAGGACACATTTATTGAGCCGTATCCGTGTGAACGGAAGACTTTTTTGATATCGAATTCGGTCAGTTTGCGTTCCCGTGTAAATGGGGTCTTAAGCTATAGGAAAAGTCAAGTACATAACCCGCAATTAAAATGGCAAATATTCGCATTTACTTTTCAGAGGTGATGATTGGTGGATCTAGTGTTTTTAGTATTTCCTTAAAGCTAAGCTAACAAGCTTCATATTTACAGACGAACAGGAAGTATTCAGATCCTTTACTGAAGTAAAAGTACTAATACAACACTGTCAAAAATAATCTGGTACAATTACATTTAATGCATTGAAATTGTTATTTAGGTAAAGTGAGTAAGTAGAATCAGCAACATGTAGTTTAAGTATTAGATGTAAAAGTAACCAATGCAGAAAAATCTAAATTACATTTATTAAAAATAGTTTAAAAGTTACTTAAATGTTCAAAGATGCCAATTAATTTTATTTTAAATAGCTGTCCAATAAAGTGTTAGCTACTTTGATTCAAAACCAAACCAATATTTGATAGGCTCTCAAAATGTCATAGTTTAAACAGTTTTTATGAAGAATTCTCAATTTGTTAATTAACTAATGCTGTAAGATAAGAGTACAATATTACTCTGAATTGTAGTGGAGTGAAGTATAAAGTGCCATGAAGAGACAAATACTCAAGTAAGTTCAAGTTTACACAGTACAATGCTTGAGTAATGTCTTCCACCACTGCATATTTCCCTATAGTCCAGCAGCAAGTCCTCAAAAAAGGCTTTAGTTTTCGAGATAACCCTACCCGAGGTAGAATAAATGACAACAATGATTTCTCTTATCTTTAGGGTCTCCCATTAATGAAATTGATTGTTGTCAAATTTTATTTTGGGGGAAAACATTTTTTTTGGGTTGTTCTTTAGAACTACCCCAATCCCTGAAAAAGAGGCAAATTAGACCAGGCCGAATGTGGGAAAGGTGACAAAAAAGCCCATAACTTTAGAATGACAACTCTTTTCCTCTTCAGATTTGCTGAGGTATGAACTAGGTGGCTGTCCTACATCACCAAATAGTCAGACAATTATTTAACTAAACAAATACTGAATTATAGTCCTGTAAACTTAGCTTTAGTTTAGACGGAAATTGTACTTTTTGGTGATAGGAACATAGGACTCAATCTCTTTTCTCTTATTTATCAGAAAAACAGAAATCCCTAAAAGATATACCATTACTGAATTGTCTAGGGTGCTATTGAACACTAACCAGTAGTTGTATGGAAATATCTGGTACAGTTCTATTGCAAATGAGATTTCGTTAGACATAGGCCTACCTCTTCTCTGAGACAGTCACATTCCGAATGGGGGAGAAGTGGCATAATAACCTATAAGTTAAGAATGCTCACTCTGATGGTCATTATATTTTGAGAGGGAAATACCAGGTGGCTGAACTACATCACCAAATAGTCAGAATAAGAGTAACCCAATTAAATATTGTGTATTAGTTCTAAATTGCAAGCCTCTAAAACATAGGTGTAAATAGTACAGGTTTTATTGAAACTGGAACCTTAATTCAAAGTACAGTATACAATTCATCAAATAATTCAGTGAGAGGTCAAGTATATAGATACTAGAACATAATGTTTAATGTCAGGTTCCTCAGAAACGTTAGGGTACACATGTTGACA